AAAGACGAAAGATGCAGATGAGAACGATCCAACGAAGCTCTGATACCATGCAACTGGAAAGCTTTCTTTCTTCTTATTCCACAGTTGAAAACATATAATACGTATTTATATGCACTCATATCTCTATAGATTAGGAATAATTCTGATATTGAAAATATCATGTAATTAGTTTTCCTCTAATTAGGTTAACTTTATCAAGCTTCTTAATATATAAGCTTTCTAATATACAAACATTAGATTTAATAATTTCCATAATAATCATTACTCTCAATGTTAATTTTACGATAACAACAAAAGCAAACTTAAGGCATAGAATTTTATCATCAAAGTTGATTTTTATAGAACCCAACTGATTTGCGATTGAATCGAACTCGTTAATGTTCTCATTGTGCAGAAAATAATCCTTGTTGTTGACAGAGGGTTTCTTGTACTTGTTTGTTTCTCTTTATCACACACGTTATGGTCACTTCACTGAGAATGTTGAAGGCATTGTTCATGCATAAGATGCGTGAATAACTCCCAGCACTTTCTTTTTGTCTACTCACTCATGAGAAATAGGTGGTGGCTTTGTTTTGTCAAAGATGATGAAGCTTACTATGGTGAAAGTAGTCAACAGTTTGTTTTTTCCAGTGGTTGGAGTTTGTCATCTAAGTTTTTGATCTTCTAGACTTTCCATCTTTCGGATTTGAGAATTTTCTACGCTAAAAATATTGATATAAGTTTTTTGGATAATAATGATAATTTTGAGTAATAACAAAGACGATTGATCAAAATGCTGCAGCATATAAATTACATGCACTGTAACATGCAGTGTATATATTTTAATGAGATCCACCTGCATTTATGATTGCACAAAGCTAAAATATTCTAGCAAGGTTAAAAATGGTACAATTAGAGTTTGCATTTCATTTTAAATTTTACTCACATTATTTTATTGCGTTTTAGTTAATTATAATTAAAATTTTAATTTTGTCATTTTAATTAGGAGTTTAAATCCTTAAATTTCAAGTTTAACCTTTGCAGTTAATACTAATTTTAAATAATTAATTTAAATTAAATATTTTTAAAAATAGAACCCTAATCTTCCTTTACTATCATCAATTTTACTAGATCCAATTTTGATACTTGTTCACCTTTGAATTCCTAACATTAATAAATAAGAACCCATATTTCATACATAAATATCTATTAAATTCAATAATTAAGTAATTAAAACGTACTCTCAGCTTGTTAATGGCTGGATCAATTTCCTATTCACTGACTTGAGCTTCCTCCTGAAGAAACCGCATGAGCACGAGCCACCCCCGTCGCCCCCCCTTCTTTCTTCCTTCAAGTTTGGGCCTACTTCAACACAGCATGGCGAGGTTACCTTCCTTCAGCTAAGGTTTCCTCCATCCTCCTTCCTTTTCGACTCTACTCTAATCCGCATTAGAGGCGCAAGACATGTGTGAGCCTTTTCTTTTTTCCTTCTTCCATTTTGTTAGGCTAAGGCACAACTTCTCTTTCTCGCGACATCATCCTTTCTCCCACACATGGGAACCAAGCACCTCCACTGCAGATGCACTTAGACTCACGTGAGTGCCAAATCAATTGTAAGTAATGCCGACAACCTTCTTTCACTCAGATGCGGTGTCAACAACAAGATTTGAGATGGTCACAACCTTTTTTCTCTATTTCTTCCTTTTCGCTCTTTGTTTCATCTCGTTGAAATGAGATGCCCGTCTCCTAAAAGAAACTAACGAGATGATTGATTGAATCAACTCTACCTTTTGAGATTTCTTTTCATTTTTGTTTTTTGGTTACTACACTAACAAATGCTATTATTATTGCAAATTGGTATGGTTCTTATATATATGATGCTCTTTTGTTGAATGATGGAGATAACTGCAAAGATAAATGGTTTTTGAATTTAGTTTGTTCATATCATTATTTATCCTACTAATTAGTTTTTTTCACATATAAATCATGTTTTGACTAAAATATTGACCAGAGCTAAAAATTTTATCAAATCCTAAGTTTTTTTTCTTCTTTGAGTGTTCTTAATAATGCATGATGCATATTCTCATGAGGCATCGTAATCTATAAAATCTTTTTTTTTTCTCTGGAACCAAATGTATTTTGGGTTAGTTAGACTAGGATATGACATGTTGATGATCAAACCGGTACATTGTCAACATCTAATGAAAATTGGTTGATAATGATTAGCCTGGTGGTTTGTGCCAAGCCACTAACGTTGTCAGAGGTTGTTTTGTGGGTTGTAGACAATAAAATTAAACACAAATGGGCTTACGAGTGATTGTTTTCCTTGAGTTCATTAGGGATGATGTTTTAAGCCATGTTCATTAAACGTAGGCTCATTAGGGATTTCTTTGAAAGTATGCATTTTGCATTACTATATCAAAAAGGTACAAAAATTATGCATTTATGCTTCTATGATGTACAAAAGTGAGAACTATAATCTACAAGTAATGTAGAGAGTTCCTTATCATCATCTACATGCATCAGAATAAAAGGACTATTAAGGGTAACCCTAGCACAAAAAAAGGGTACCCTCTTATTGTCTCGTGGTATATTAGAATGCAAAACTTGTCTAAACTTGAGCATAAAAGGCAAAGTCTATATCGTCTTCATTTTAGTTTTGCCAAACCTCCTTCTTCATGGTTGAACTCATAAACAACATAACGATACCCTTCAATGATTATGCCATTGCATTCAAACATCCATGGTTCAAAAATATTATGAAAAAAACAGATGGCTTCAAGCTTCACTTTGGCCCAATCCCAATGCTCCACAACTTGTCCCGCGGCAATAGGTCCCTCACCTTGTTCATTTCGAATAATGGTACTCGTGGCAGTGATACCATAAGGTAGAAGAGCTTCATCGACGTTGACTTTAATCCATCCGTGAGGGGGAGGTTGCCAGAAATTAGAGAGGACTGAACCAGATGTCTGACTAGCATCCCAGGTGCTTATGTAATGCCATGCTTTTTTTTAGGGTCGTTTGGTTTGCTGAAAATGAAATGCATTGTAAAAGATTAGCAGAGTCCTATAATTATAACGTATTTAAAATATTTTAGAGTTTTTTTGCTCACCGTAAAATAAACACAAGACTTTTAAATTTTTTTGTTTGGTTTGAAGTAGATTAAAAATAATGTATTTCAAATTATATTTTTTTAAAAATATCTTTTTTGTCCGACATTAGAGGGGCAAGACGCTGACAGGGGTGGGTTTGTGGGCGGCGGGAGGACGGTCGGTGTGGGTAGCGGCGGCTTGCAGTTGGCTACTGCGGAAGGCGGGAGGGAGGACAACTGGCATTGGGTAGACGACTAGCAATTGGTGGCAGTGACAGCGCGCGACAGTTGGGAGGCTGGCGGCGGACGGTGGCTGCGGCGGCGGGGGGGCCACGCGCGGG